CGCCCCTTCCGCGCGGGCTGCACACGTGTGTGAGCTGCGTCGAGGGGGTACAAGCTATATACGTACACGAGCGTGCCAAGTAGCTGCATTTTTCACAAAGAACACCACAGGTATTTCGAGAGTCTCTCGGGCATAAATCGTCCTCGCAGTTGCGAGGAATGAAAATTCCTTTGCAGAGCCGTTTACACCAAGAGTGAGTATGTGCGCTGGGCACGGCTGGCGCCGTTTCTGGCAAGCATAACGAGACCTACTTGAGCCGACAAGCTTTTTTTACGCGCCCCATGCTCCAGCTATGAGGCAAGACTAACATTACGCTGCAAACCTTTGATTGCGTTGTTAATTTATCAAAAAATATTAATCAATCGCTTTTAATTTGACAGACTTGCTGATGCTTTATCGAGAGCACATGACATGCATTGGAAAATCTCGTCAAACTTTTTTCTCAGTTGTTCATCACCCATGCGAAGTAATGAGTTGGTTTTAAAAAATTAAATATTATAAGTATTACAAGATATTCACGTGACCTCGTTTCAAATATCAATTCATTAAAAATAAAACTTTATGCTCTCCCATGAGTAATCAAAGTTTAAAGTTGTCTTACGCTGCAATTCTTTGTAGGAATGTGTCACGTTTTTTTTCTTTAGCCTCGATGGTATAGCTGAAAAATAATAACGAGTCTCTAGTCTTCACAAGCATAATACAAATAAAAACTTGGCGAGATATATATGTATTTATAGATAGCTGCAGATGCTTCTTTGGGTGACTGTTTCTGGTATTCTACTCCATGAATAGATTCACGATATCTACAATCTAGCTAAAAAAGACTTTACTTAACCAACTCTGGCATTTATATATTATCTAAAATTGTTTTCCTCTTCAAATAATAAGAAAAGAAAGAGAAAAATACAGATCAATTAAGAAACTGCACCAATGAACTCCAAAAAAAGATCTCTGCGATTAAATCAAACATAATTTATGGAAAATAGACCAAAAAGACCAAATAAATCAATACAAAAAAATTATTCGTACTTGAAAAATGTATATCAAACCCATTTGACTAAAAATTACTTATAAAATACATTGTCTGAAATTTAAGTGATTTTTCTAATGCATTTTATAGAAAACATTTTTATAAACATGTTTCTTAGCCTTTGAATTATGTATTCCAATTTGACCTAAAAATATGGAAAGTAATTCCGCGCATGCTCTAACTCGTGATACTGTAGCAACATAGCTTTTCTTCGTGATATTTATTTTTTGTGCTACCCCAACCTAAAGTAACATTTTACTTTCGTTGAGCAAAATCAAAATGTTACTTTAGGCTGGGGGATTCACAAAAAATTGTATTTGTATCTAAGAAGTAAAAAATACACTAATATATTTACTTGTTATTATTATGCATTTTTGAATCTGAAATAATTATTTTTATTTTTTGTATCTGCTTTTCTCATACAAAACAATGTTAAAAATCAAACTAATTTTTTTGCTTTTTCAACAGAATTTTACGGTAAAGAAGCTTTATTTTAATTCGTAAAACAGAGTTTCAAGGCAAACAATCAGCTTTTAAAATTTTGGCCATATTTTTTAAGAGACCCAATCCTCTAGAGAAAGTAAAAATAAAAAGAGGTATGAAACATAAAGATCGGACTTTCTCTCAATTGTTGACAAAAGTTGGAAAAAAGTGGTTTCGAGAAAAACGCGTTCGAAGTTTTGTGTTGTACATAGCAAGCACGCTAGTCGCTTCGCGTAATCGGGCATAAATTTTTTCTTTATGAATATCGTTCTAAAATTTTAACAGAGTATTTTTATGACGTTCAAAAACGTTTTTATAAAAAACAAATCGATAATTTTTTTCACTTTCAATGGGAATGTCCCCTTAACTTTCCACAGCTTACTTCACGACTTACGATAACATTAAATTACAAATCTGGAAATCTGTCAACGCAAAACAATTTGCGACACAACACTCTTGAGAGAGGATGGTGTCGAATTATTTTAAAAATTATAGTCAATGATAAAATTGTAAATCAGTCTCGCAAAAAGCTTGGAACCAATTAAATTGATTAAGTTTGCAGTATAGGTTGGAGCAAGTTTTAATATTTAAATAATAATAAAGTATTAATAAAGTAGCTCAAATATAGATGTCTAGATTCAAGTGTATGGACGGACAAGGGTCCCTTGAAGCGAAAAGTTCGATTCTTAATTACATCGAGCTTTCAACAGATGGGTTACATTAAGAAATAGTCAAATTCTTTTTATCGGATAAGAGGCTGTCTGACATAAGAATAATGCTGAAATGATGCACGGATCAATGGCTGTGTATGCAGACGCGTGAGGAGTGCGACCTGGAAATACGATTTTTGCCCGTTTCCTTTGCAAGCTGTGGATCTTCGAGCCGAGAATAGCTTCGCTCTTCTACTAGCTTATATCTGTATACGACATATAGATATATACGTATAAAGCTATGCGAAAGTCAAAGGCCAACCGCAAGACAAAAGGCCAAACACACTGGCGCACAATGTCTGTGGCTCGCTCTGTATATGTGCTACGTGTGTACCTAGTGCACAAAACATGGACTAGTTGAATCCCTGTGTATCCAGTCACCGAGCTCTGCAGTGTGTGCATAAGCCGAGACTTGGGGGTGATATCGAAAATCCAGTGGTTTACGGACCAACCAATCCAAGGCAAATTCGTTTTGTTCTGCATACACGCGCGGCGATGAAAATATTTCTTTGTCTACTTTTTATCATGTGATCTTTGGTGCTCTTTGCAACGTGTACTTCTCGTACAGAAAAATTTTAGAATTTGGTGAGTCACACGTGTGTACTTCATTTCGTTCACTCGGTTCGATTCAAGAACCAATGATTTGTATGCGATGTGGGTAAATTTGCAGGATACTTGTAATTTTTCATTTGTAGCCAGCATGTTTAGGCGCACAATTTACATATGGGTAAGGCTCAGAATTTTTTAAATAATCGATGACGTATGTCACCGATCTTGATGACCGATCTGAACCTTACCCATATCGAGGAGCGCGTGTCGCGCTCCACCTGGCAAGTATGACAGAAACTAAGTGACGACCCGCCGCTACTCATATACAGCGCAAAACTTTCTATATTTATACAGTATATAGGTACTCATCTATGGCGAAAGTTCATAGATAACTACCAGCAGTTTTTCTCTGGCTGTCTCTCAATTGCAATTCGTGTATATTACGTGTTGCGCAGAAAACAGCATACGCGTCGAAGCATTCGCATGACCTCGAGGCACTAATATTACACCCTTACATACTCGCGTCAAGCCGCGAGACTTGGTATTTCGGTCAGATATTTCATAAACTTCTCGGCTTCTGTATATATAGTTATAGGCACCGAGGTGAAGAAAAACTTCATATTCACTGCATTATTATTCTCGAGTACCGTTCTTTTATTCCCATTTTCAATGCGCTGACGTGAGCTATTTATATATTATAGTTATATCCTGAAATATTCAAGATGCTACAAGGAACTTAATTATAAACTTGGTACGTATAAATTGCACTTCTATGATAAATTAATATAAATGAACCAGATAAATATCTGACACACAGAATTTATACAATTAATTCGATTTTTTTTTAAATCTGAAATCAGCGATAATGTATTCAACAAACAGCTAACATACTCGCGTCCCTATAACATAATAAACATTATTAATCTATGCATGCGATTTCATTATTTTCCGCATATTTTTCGCCCACGCTCGCTTTGAGCTCCCTTTGATATTTTCATTATAAATTTAACATTCGTTTAAGCCGTATAATGTGCAAAAATTCGAATCGAATGAAAATTAGATTTTTCCGAATGTATCTATCGAAATATCTTGGCGCAACTTTTGAATCGATAATTGAAACTGAAATTGCACATTCGTTTCATTATATTATAAATGCAGCATTTGATATAGCGCGTACATTATAGGCGTTTACAACAAACTCACCCTCAAATATAATGTAATTGCTTCAATAAAGTCAAAAATTAAAGTCGACGAATTGGTATAACCGTGACGATTCATAAATAAGTCAAGCAATGTATCGTTTTAAGTATATAACATATTTGCTAGTGAGCATCCTTCAGATGTGTATATGCGCTTGTGCGCCCAATATGCTTGCACATGGTGAACTTTAATCAGAAATTCAATAAGCAACCGCTAACGAACACCGCAAATTGGTTATATAAGTGCCAAAAGGGCCATGTATAATATTACAAACCCATTTAACGTCTACTTTGAAATTCACCAAACCAAATTTGTGTCCAACTTATTGAGAACTTTGCCGAAACCCGAATGTGTTGCTTAGTGAAACAGCAACAGGATTCGGCATAGATGAATTTATTGCAAGCCAAAGACAAAAACCTTTCATTGACTGCTTTTTAATTTAGCTACAAGAGAAAATGTAAATTGTTATTCTTAGATCTTGTAACGAATAAACAACCATGGTCGTCGACTAAAAAGCCCATTAATAAACTGATGATTTGTGTGTTTGAAAGCAATAGAAATTTCGTCAAATAAATCACCAATTTACAGATCGTGGGACGTCTCTTTCTTATACATTATCCATACACACTCACTGCTACTCGAAACTATAAAAAAGCAATGAATTTCGACTGGAAAAAATAAATAAAGTAAAAAAGCAGTAGGCACTCGGGCGAATGTCATATATAAGGTAAGTATGCAAGGAAGCGAGTACAAAAATTTGTATAGCGTTTTATCAGGTGGAAAAGTTGTAAATTACGAGCGAAGTTCTCTATGGGCCATTTGTCTTGCCAAGCCTGCACCACGAGCTAAAACTGCGCGCACAGAGTCGCGACTGCTGCGCGAGTCGTGAATTTCCCATCTCTGGCAATTTTCTCGAAAATTTTACAGAAAAAAGAGATTAAAAAATTCGAATACATATATTATATATATATAGGGCTCGTGCAAAGGTGTAGTATATATAAATATATCTGAAACTCATATATACTCACCGGAAACCGTAAGATGTACTGTTCTTATGAGGGGTGGATGCGCACTCACTTGACACTCGTAAACTCCACTGTCACGCTCTGTTGCCGAGCTCAATTTCAATCGCCAATTGTTCGGCAACTCCGAGTCCAGAGAGAAGCGCGAATCGCTTGAGTAGGTTTGCTGGCCGAATGTCAGCAGATGCAGCTCTTCGCCGCGCCTTCGTACCCAGGACACCTGCGAAAGAAGCGCATACAAAAATTGCTCAAACACAATTTATTTCTCTTTCTTTTTGTTTCTATTAAAAAGACAAAATGTGTTAATAAATAATGCGGACCAGGAGCTCCATTGTATGTGAATGGATCTAGTTTTGTACTGAATATATTATCATAATACGTCGTGCTGATAAACGAGTGTCGGTATATGACGAATACATTGACTGTGTTTGTGTGAAGCCACCAAGTCCCCAAGGAAATGGTATTCGTGGAAATTGAAATACGAGGTAATATATTTTCCAATAATATGTTACATATTTATAACGTGTACAAGCGTGCGTGGGATCGCACATATATAAGCACTGACAAGTTTTTGATGGACCTTTCTCACGAGAGTCGCAACGTATATAACTTGGACATGCAAATCGCAGCCTCGAAGCAAAAGCTTCTATTTTCATGTGTCCATCAGAAAAATATGCTTATACATGTATAGTTTTTTCATAATGTGTAAGACTGAGGATCAAACATTTTTAAATAATCGTGTGCCAGGAGTCTTCGGATTTGGACGCGCAATTGATGTGTATAGTATGGAAAAAAATATCCCAAAGCCGAGATTACAGACCCAAATATTTCTCGCACCATCCAGTGGAGTGCCTCCACACACCATATAAAACTCCATAAAACGAATTTTATCATTCTTAAGTGAATCTCATATCTTTTCCACATTGTATTTTTAATCTATATAATGTTCTAGTTCGAAAAGGATGGCCTTGAACTAGAAAATATAAAGAAAAAAGATTTTATAATTTGTTTAAAAACGTCGCTTCATTTAAAACTTGAATGATTTATTTGCGTTTAAAATATTATTTTTGCTCTAGAAGTCGATCTTTCGTCTGACAGTATCTGAAAAATTAAGGTTATATATTTCAGTGTCAAAAAAGTAAAAAAAATTCAGACGTTCTTTTAAATCGTAGGGCCGTAAATAAATTTTTTGAATTTTTAATGATTATTTCTAAAGCTCTGAAGAATTAAAAAAACATATGGAGTGTTGAGTGTGGAGTGTTTTTTTTTTAATAATTCAACATGTAAGAAACAATATCTAAAAGGTCCGGAATTAATCAAATTCATAGATCAAATCATTCGGAGATCAAATTCATTTGCAATGGGAAAGTCCCTATCACCTGCAAAACCTTGCGTATTTTATCTCCATGCAAATCGTAAAGTGACCAGTAGCAATGCCTGTTAAAAAGTCCTATAGTTGATTCAATTTCACTTACAGTGACAGATTATAGTTCAAATGTAGTAAATTATATTGAAAAAAACTACGAATAAAAGTTGTTAAAAATGAGGCAGAATCATCTTTTCTTTTCGATATAATTTATTGAATTACAAAAGCCTAAAAATCGCTCACTGAAAATTCTGTACGGCTGGTATATGTGAATCCTGTAGAAACTTTAGGCAAGATGTGAAAGTTAAATAATCATTAGTCTATCTCTCTCTTCCAGACCCACAGTTCCTGTGCAAAAGCATATACGTACCTGCACTGAACCATATCCATTTATCACTATTATAAAGGATTCAACCATTCAAATGAATAATCTCAGTCACGCGTGTCACTGAAAACAGAAAATGAGAGGAAACAAGAAGAACTAAATTCACATCAAAGACTACGGTGGCTGCTTGTAGCCCAAATGATGCTGACTAAAAAAAATCTGCATTTATTCTAGTTCAGACTTTACGAAATTTAATAAAAATATTATTGTATCGAAAACGAGACGATGTTTTTAAAACTTGAAATTATCGAAATCTAAATTTTACAGCATAGCAACTATTGTGCTCACATAAAACGATCTGGTCAGCTATATCGATTAGCTTTTAAAGTCTAATAGTTTAGAATGGGCGTGTGTGTATGTGTGTATAAAGTGTATGTATGCTTTTTGACGCATGCTAGCACACGCTTAGAGTCTGCTTAAGCCACAACTTAATGACTTTGTTCATTGCAAGCCTTATATATTGTAGACCTAGTCTGGCGTGTCAGAAGAGAAGTTTGTATTAGAGCTATATACCTATCCGACTTCTTGGTTCTCTAATCTCTGTAACGTCCGAGACAACGAAGTCAGGACGCCTTACACTCAAGATTACCCACGTTAACCTCAACTCTGTGTATATAGATGCCTTTTCTGTTATATTTTCCAACTTTTCATTACTTATATATATAAGCATATATATTTCATCCTATGAGTTACGGCCCAGAAAAGATAATTGATACAGATAAGAATGAGTGAATATTTTTTTAATTGATATTTGATGCAAATTGTTGTTGAAAACAAAAATGTATCTAGAGCAAATCATTCACCATTGAGTACATTGAGTGCCAACTTTAAATCCAGTGGTCCTTAACCAGAAGCTTCAAGGTAAAAGTTTTATGATATTTTGCTCAACAGTTGCGAGGATTTGTACATTGGATTTCTATATCCAACGGCATATACTATATTGCATAATCAAGTGATCAAATAATAATTTCGATTAATCCTTTGCCATGTCAGTCTTGAAATACTAGATAGTAAACGCATACAGCAATGCGTATATAATTAATGCTCTGCACATCCGATAGATGAATCGTTCATCAATTGCGATTCAAAATCACGCATATAAGCTCTTTATATATTAGTTATTCTAATTTTGCGTCATACTTATCGAAAACTATTAAAGCTCACGTATAATGATTCCATGTTTTTATTTTTGAAGAAACTAATTTTTTACTAATTTCGAAACTAAAATTATTTAACCGTGTACGTATGAATTTGACGTAGATCAGTGAATTCGGATTACGTCATACTTTTCTATTTAAAAAATACATGATGAATAAAAATTGTAAATGACAATTATAAATACTTACACATGATGTGTGAGATCTATAGAGAAAATTTAAGGATAACTTTACAGTTGCTGTACTACATTCTAAACTATTTTAAAATGTTGTCCATTTTTTTGTATTGGGACGATTTTTTTAGTTTTCTTTGAAACTTTCTAGTTTAAAGTCCAAATATTTTTATTATATTCGAATTGATTTCGAGTCAGCAGTCCGTTTTAAGTTTAACACCTAAAATAACAGAAAAAAAATAGATTGTTTCAACGTGCACCTGGACTACAATCATTCGTTTATCCAAATCAAACATACACCATCACAAAGTTTTTTTTAAATACCTCAAATCGAGACGATTTCAGCTAAAGGAGGCATTTTTCATACTTCTGAACAATATCTATATATTCTGTCCAAGTATAAGTTCAACCAATCGATTTTTTTTGTCATTTTTGGTGTTACGCTTAAGAGGGATTAGTGACTCAAAATTAATTCAAACTTATTCAAAAAATAGATGGCCTTAAATAACTAAAAATTTAAAAAAAAAACTAAATAAAATTCATTTCGATACGATAAAATTTACGGTGAAAAAGCATTTGAAAATTGACAAAATTTCATTCCAAATTGTTGTTGTTATAATTTTGCTGCGTGTGTGTATTAATGTTTTTTAAAACAAAAATAAATGAAGAGTGCACAACTTTACTATGTATTACTACTCATATTTTTCACGCTAACACATAATGTTTTGTGTCATATATCACTAATTTCATTAAGAATGATCCATAGCTGAGTTTTTCATTTTTCTTTGCCTTTTTTTTATATTATAAAGAATACTGAGAAAATGAGAGCAAGCAGGCGCCAGCAAATGAAAAGTACCAGACGTAAGAACTAGACTTCTTGAGAAGAGGATCATATTGAGAAATTCCCCAAGTCATTCTTGCAGTATTACAAAATTGTATGAATGAAGAAAAGGTCGGATCATTTCGCTATTTTATTTTTATTGACTTCTATTTTATGGATAAATAATATTCCATATATTACGCTTTCACGCAGTATGATGTATGATATTTGCATTTTGAAAATACCACTGCCAAAGTAAAGGAATGTAAACGTACGTAAATATAGTTTAGACGAGAAATAATCTCTTGAGAAATTATTAACGAAAATTTGATTTTGAAAGAAACTTTCATTAATTTTTTTTAACAATTAATTTGCTTTCAATACGCTCATTAAAAGCTTCTTTTGATTTTATGTTTTGAATCACCACCCTCTCTCACCCGTTACAACAATATTTCAATTTGTTACGGCTTTTATATTACGAGCTGGAGAGAGAAAAAAAAATACAAAAAAGTTGAAAAAGAGTTTCCGGCAAACGAAAGATTGCCGTTAGATGGTGTCCGTATACATGTACAATTTTATTCACGAGAAAAGCTTTTAGGATCGAATGAAAAACAAAGTACGCTTCAACTGACAAAAGAAAAGTCAAGGCATTGCGCGCGTGCAAGTAGTATTCTTCGGTAAAAACGAGGTCACTGTTCACCATTGCAGATTTTTGTTGTCTGATCTAGTACTAGACAACTTGTTTGCTATGGTCACTCTTATGTGTATCAATAAAAGTCATATTTTTATTTGTTCTCGAAAAATATGATTCCAAAATCAGCTTTGCTCTACCTAAATTCTTTATTTTGGTGCAGATGAACTGTTTTATAAATTTTTTGGAAAATAAGGTCAAGACTTTTACGTGCCTATCAATATGAAAGCATATGCTTACTTTAATAAAACTAAAGTTGATAAATTTATTTTTATTTCATTGTAATGAAGTTCAATAGAAAATTTTTTCAAGTTTATTAACACTTGGTCAAAGTTTTTACGAGTAATAAAAAATCTCGGCGTGCATGGATCGTCAAATGAAAGAGTCTCGTTGCTTCTGACCGCGGAACTAAAAATCATGCATAGTAAATATTTTCAGGAGCATAGAGCTTGCACTATATTTACTCGGTAAAAAAACTCAGCTCGAAATTCCAGAATATAAAACGCACGCGCAACTCGAGCGTAAGTAGAAACTAAGGCAAGCACATACTCGCATACATGGAAATGTAGTAGTACTTGCATAGGAACGTGCACACACGCACGTACGCAGGCAAAGTAAGCGAGATCCTGAAGCTAGCTCATAAGAGAGAGAGAGAGAGAGAGAGAGAGAGAGCGCACAGGAAACTTACCATACGCTTTTCGAGATTCTGCACACGACAATGTAAGTAAACTTGAGCTCCCAGCTGAACAGTTATGTTGCTATCAGGATCCTCGAAGAAAGGCCTCGGCTCTGGAGTCGCTCCGGTTTCCGTGGCGAAGCTCTCCTCCTCGTAGACCTGTAAGCAGCAGATCATGGCCAGTGACGAATAATGCCTCGCACCGTCCGGATTCGCTTCGACAAAATTCCACGCTAATGTGGCACGTGTTCGAATCTTTGCGCAGCCCCGACCGAAACAGGAAGTACGAACTATCTCGTGGCTTGCGCATAATATCGAGCCGTTGAGGCATGCCGACGCGACCATACACAATATTACGTATAGCATGTATTCCCGCGCGCAGGCACGGCGTGACTTTATGCAAACATATGCGTCCCTCGAGGCAACAATATGTCTCCCCGAGAGCTTCGAACTTTATTGTTAGGCAAAAATCATCTACTTCTACTTTTCAACTTTTTTTAAGTAAATACCATTATCATAGCCAGACGTGCGTAAGCTCTTACACGTGTATGGTATGCGTTGCGCGTTCACGGCCTAGTAAAATGAACTTTTAAAAGTTATTGAAAAATGAAATTCACTAGAGCAGAAAAGATGAGATCGGGAAAAATATATTGTCCCGCACGACTGGCGCGTATACGCGCTGTGGCTTGAGTCGGATGCTCACGAGACGGCGACGACGACAAGCGCCCGGACTTCATTACCAGAAAGTAAAATGGGTCGATGTGCATTTAGATAATAAATTACTGCCTTAAATCACTCACCTCGGTGAAAGGAGAGCTCAGCTCATGCCAGAAGGACCTGGGCAGATTTTCAAGCCCAGGAAATGGCTTACCACCTGCAATGCAAGCAAAATTTTTCCTTAAGAAGCCATTTTTCATCCCGACGAGATTAGATCAGATTTTTTCGGCTATCATACACATGCAACTACTTTTTGTTGTTACTTCTACGTCTGCGTAAAAATTATACATATGAAACGATGTCGTGTACAATGTGTCTTAAAAGATTATTAAAATTTGAAAAACCGCTATAAGATAGTTTCTTCAAAAAAATGACTATCGATAAATGGTCTTGAAATTTTAAACACATATGTTTAACATAAACACAGTGCTTTTCATATGTGTGAGAAATTTCAGGAACTTTAACCAAACCATTTCCCAATTATAATTAATCAAAGTTCGGTACTTTAACATGGGATCTCTATGCTAGCGTGTCGAAAAGACGCTATTTTGCGTGATTATAAAAAAACGCATCGATATTCTTTTCAAAAACTAGAAGATGATGGTTTAGTATTATATACTGAAAACTGAAACCTACCTCAAAAACTGGAATAACTTGACCGTACAGTTTTTGAGAAAAGTTAATGTAAAAACATTGCAAAAATAAAAAGTTAAGGGAAGGCTCTCATGAGACTCAATCAAAAAACCATAGAATAAGGTCAATGTGGGTATTTTCGCTCAGCTAAGCCCCTATTTTCGCTGAACTTTGAAATAAATTTTTACATGAGTTCAAAACTTAATACCAGTATTTAAATAATTAATTAATGCTGAGCGAAGCGAAGTCATTTATTCTTTTAGCTCAATTGATTTCGGCATATTTTGTGTCAACGGTTTCTAGAAAACGACGTCCTGGAATGTTCTAAAAATTTTAGGGGTTGTTGAGGATGGTGAGCTGAAGGTCTGATTGTCACATTTAACCAACCTGGTGCACCAGATCGCCGATCTGGCCCCTGTAAAAACTTTTTCGAGAATTTTCGTTATTTTTGGGTTGTAATGACTAGGTAAAATATGTCGGACTACATTTTGTCGACTTGGTGAAGCAGGTCATACAAGGCTTTTTTTTTGTTTTTAATCCGAATGCACTTGGATGCACTTGGATGCACTACATATGCAGTTTTTTACGAGTTTCCTTTAAATTCATGTAATTTGTCGGGAACATTTTTTAATTACATAGCAACTTGCCACCGGGTACCCGAAGTCCTGTTTTTTTTTTGTTTTGAATCCGAATTCATTTGAATGCACTTGCACTACATATGCAGTTTTTTCAAGTTTCCTTTAATTTGATGTAATTTGGCGGGAACATTTTTTAATTACAAAGCAACTTGCCACCGGGTACCCAGTAACCTGATTTTTTTGGTTTTGAATACTAATGCACTTGTATGATTTAGTATCATCGCGAATATTCTGTTTACTGAAATGGCTCAGCATTCTGCAACTGGAGTTGGTACTTGTATAGTTATATAGTTATGTTAAACATGTTCAGCTCAATACAGCTCAATTGAGCGAATATAGAGACATGAGCGAAAATACCCACATTGACCTTACACCCCCGAAACCCTTTTTACCAAAATCGATTCGGTTAAAAAGTTATAGGCAAAAAACCGGAGCTATCTTTTTACGAGCGAACGATGTATGTATGTATGTACATTCGCTTTCTAAAACTTTAAACGCGGTTTTCTCGAAACCATGTTTTCTGAATCGGGCGCCAAGATATCTCAAAAAGTATTGCACTTAAAGATACACTTTTTTTATTTTAAAGCTAATTAAATTGTCTGGATCTTAAACCAAAAAAATTTTTTCATTATTATTATTTTTTAGTGCCCTTAGAAGAGCCAAAAAAGGGCCAAAAATAATTTTTTGCATTTATTTTGGTTCAAACTCCAGCAAATTTCATGTAGTTTAAGAGAAACTTCGAAATTTTGGTTTCAGGCAAAAACTGAAGGCGCTAGCTTGTCGCCCGTTGAGGTGTCTTTTTTTAACACGACCTCCGTCAAACGCTAGTAGGGGATACATAATTCGATATTTTGGTCTGAAAAAATTTGTAAATATAGTTTAATACGTACTTTAAAAGTACCAAAAAACTTGACTGCATTATTCACTTCCTTCCACGAAGAAAAAAAACATAAAAAACACGTCATTTTTTAAGCGCTAGATGAGAGCCTCCCCTCTTTTTGACCTGAAACCCACTTGTTGAGGTTTTTGGGTTTATATTAAACAAAAAAAGTGCTGTTGTAAATTTTCTCTAAAATCTATTTTTCACGAGATATAAACAATTCAAATTTAAACAATTTCAAACAATGAATCTTTAAGATTTTTTTATCTCAATAAGTATGAGCTCTACGAAAAATTTAAAAAGAACAAAAATGTCTTAGAATTTGTCAAGGAAAGCGTATAAATTTTTTCAGATTATTTTTAGACATATGTCCGAATTTGTATGTTAGGTTCTGAGGGAACTACCTTAAGCCAGATTTTATGGCACTTGAGTGTTTATAAAACATAAATCTTCATTCCCTGAGCTTTTATCCAAGACGATATGACGGGTATAATTCGTGTCACATGTGAATTAAGAAGTTAAAAGCGACATTGGCTAATTTAACGGGAAAAATCATTGTAGTCGTGCACCGAAATCAGCAAACAAATTTAGGCGCTTGTACAGTCAAGCAAATCTATCTCTCGATCCATCATTGAAAAGCTTCAATGCGTATCCGTCTGTCGTCACGATGCACATAGACGTGTGCAAACTCAATAGCGAAAAAATACACCGAGGCTCTGGAAGTCGAGCGATAGAATAAGTCGAAATAGCGGCAGAGAGCGAGAAACGATTTTACATACATTTTATATGATGATGCAGAAAAGTACAGAGCATTCAATTCGTTTTATGCGCGCAATAGGTATCCTCCACTTTACTTCGCTTATACAATTGTAAAGTCTGCGTAAAATCTACCGTTATATAGCAGCAACAATCGAACTCGCCTTTTTTATGCACTAGCTCGATTGTATAAGTATATATGGGCTATATCGCGTCAACTGTCCCCCCTTTTTTTGTTTTGATTTTTCATATTTTATTCTGCTTCCCAAAGGTGAATATGAAAAAATTATTGAAACATGATTTTTTATGTAAAATTTGATGAGGATTTCAAATTTGATGTCAAAAATCATATTCATAAACTCCAAGTACCTTAATTCCCAAAAAAAAGCTTCAGGAGCAAAAATAAACATGTTCGTATCCAGCTATATAGCCAATATTGTAATATGTTCATCGATACACCAAAATACAACTTCTGATAAATTTTTGTCATCGGCAGACAAACAGACTTCATTATTGAACATGATATGAGTCAAGAATAGAGGAAATCTAGAGAAAAATCATGTTTTATTGAAAAAAAACGTAAAGAAAAAACCGTTCTTTTCGTAATTAGGATATTTTTCAATGGCTGTATCTCCGTCGTTCTGGAACCAATCTTAAATCTGAGTACGGCGATTTAAAGATAATAAAAATATCTTTCACATGAAATGACACAGAAATTGTTTGACAGTTTAATCCAAGCGTCTTCAACATCAATTTAAAAAACGCTAAAAAACGACAATTCGGAGATTTTTCGTTCCTCTTCAATAACACCCAATAACCGGGGGTGTGGTTATCGAGCTCTACGTAATTTTTTCATGAAAAGTAAGTACATGTCTTAACCTAAATAATGCGATTCTCTAGGTTAAAAAATATGCTTCTTTGCCCGAGCTATAACTGAAGAATACGCAAAATTACGTAAAAACGGCTAATTTTAAACCTTTGAGGTGCCCCTACAGGGCTGAAAATTTTACTGAAGGCTATTTTCATATACCCAAATAACATACTAAATTTTGGAGCAGATCCATGAAACCTCTCCACAAAACTCGCCAAAAAGTAAAAAAACTGCTCTTATATATTTTAGATCACTTCTTTATTTGTCGAAATTCATTCTTACAAGAGCATACACAAGAAAGTACGCGCACTTTTCGTTCAAATAGATATAGGTATGCTCTGTCATCATCAATTACGTTTTACCGATCCGTCGCAGCCGCGCGTCGCTTCATTTCTCATCGCTTTTTCAGCGTAGCTGACGTTTTATCTCTCACTTTACCCCTTGACATTAGTGCTCATTTTATTTTTCGATAGGGACATTGGCTACGACACACAAGACTTATGGAACTCGCATTCATTCGCCTTTTACATTGTGCAACGCTCGAAAAAATATTGTTTTGAGAAGGCTCGACCTTTTTTCAATCTCGTGATTAAATTTTCAATGGCAATTCATTTTTTAATTCATGTAGTACGAAGAGCTATATTTTTTGTACAAATTTTGAATAATCAAAATTTTTTCCTTTTTTTATATGTGCTCCATAGCCTCAACTGTTATCCCATGCCCCTCCTTACCTCATACAACTACTTTCACAGTGTACATTGAAGAATCACAATTCCAGAAAATTTTGATTTCTTCGTCTACTCCACATAAATCTACGGAGACTCAAAATTGCATTTTCATTTCTTAAATTTTATTTTGCTTTTATGGAGTGACTCTAAGAAAATATTTGAACAATGATTTTTGACGTTAAATTTCGTTCTAAAAAATTAAATTTATAACTTCATAACTCTTTAAAAATGAAAACTTGTATAACCCTAAAATAAACTTGTTCGTAATATTTCAATAGACCAATATTAGAAAATGTTTTTTCGAATAACAAAATGTAACTTTTCACTAGATGGTTTCATTGGTTAACCAATAGAGACATTTAGTAAAGTTTGAAGGATAAAAAAGAAAGAAAAAATTCATGAAAATGAGGAAAAAGTTATTTTTCTCATCCAACGAACATTGCCAAGTATCAACCGATGAAGCAATTTGATGAACAGTTGTTCTTTGTACTTTGTATTTTAATAATATGTGCTTTAATAATATTTATAAATAATTTTTTTAAGTCATACCAAAAAAAAAGTAAAAATTTGAAAAATGAAAATTAAACTTCGAGCCTCTGTCGATCTGTGAGGGCTAGATCAAAAAATTGGTTTTTTCTTATGCACTTAAATTTTTTCGATACATTTTCGATTATTTTTTATCGTTGCATTATCAAATTAATTCTATTAACCAATTCCAAGCTTTACTCATATTTATTATATAATTTATACAAAATTTATAACCAACCTGAAGGTATGCCTGCTACCGATAGTCCGATAAAGTGCATCAAAATGACGGCCTTGAAGGCCGAAATTCTTCTCAACATGGTAAATCATTCAGCTTATCTCCTTACACAGAGTAAAATGGATTTTTCACAACAATTCTGTAATCAAAAAAACGTTTACTAGATTTTAGTTAAAATATTACTGTAATGCAATTCTTATGAAGATTTTGCGTTAACAATCATTATAAGTATCTAAAAAATTAATTTGATTTGATTATTTTGATATTTAAAATTAATTAATTATCGCAAACACAGAGAGGGTAAAGGAGCAAAGCAAGGTACACTCGGCAAATATCGATAAAGAGACTGACGAAAATCCGACCTGATGGCCAATAGCAAAGGACGTTAAGCAATGGTACACAAGGCAAGATCTTCCTGCGGGTTTGCTCAAACTGTTCAATCAGAACTGATACACGCGTTACATGAGCTTCTGCGAGGCATGAAATCCTGCTCGTTCCTTCTTGAGCTTCCAATAGCTATCGATTTATCAGAAGCTGAATCGACACTTTACTGGATCGAGATTTGCTTGCTTACGGCAAGTTACAACTGTAAAATTATATAATCATGTCAAAGAATAGACTCTAAATTTATCTGTAAAAATATTTACAAAAAAAGACAACAAGTTTGTGTACTTTTGCAAAATTAAAAACGTATAAAGCGGTAAATTACGCCGTAATGAGATTCGATACTCTTTTAGCCTAAATATACGTACATAACTACCGAAACCAGTGAATTTATCATTATAATCCAGTTCACGTCTTTATAAGTACGAGAGGTGAGGTGCAACGTGTTTATGGGTTCCAGCAACAGCCCGAGGCGTTTTACTGACGCATGTGCACTCTGAATTTTATATGCCCGTGAGGAACTGCGATACTATTATCATTATCCACCATCAAAGACACTCACTAGAAAATTGGAATTATAGATCCTGAATGATATTATGCTGTTCCATACATTTATTTTTATTAAAAAAATACTTTGAAATCAAATTTTTTCGCAAACCAATGTTGCACAAAATTTCATTAAAAAAGGTCAATTCTTTGTTATTTTCTTTGTGATGGAAATTTTCATTTGCTAGGGAACGAATCAATCGAAAATTAAACCAGGAAAAGTTCGCACGCATCCCAATCCCTTTGAAATAATAATAAAAATGAAAATTCGACAAAATGAATTTTTACGCCATTTCGTAGATTTAATTTTGGCGTCACAGCTCGACATACTATAATCTTCTTTTCCTTCAGGCTACACGTGTCTTCCGTCGACAAGTAGATAAAAGTCCGTGCGTGTAAAAGTCAGTGGGGCAGACGACAAAGACACAGTGTTTCCTTAACTCTGTAAGATATATACCATAAATGCACGAGAGGATAGTTTGCGACTTGCTTGGATATGAAAAAAGTGTGAGTGTAAAAACATTGCGTTGTATAGTAGAGAGGCCGAAGATGTGCTCCCAAGGCGCAGCAAAAGTTTCGAATTATTTCGCTTCTTATACGCAGGTGTTGCTCCATAATAAGTGGTGTCGCTAGTTTGTGTGAAAGCGTTTCTGACTCCCATATAGGCATAATCGTACATATTGACCATGTCTTTATTGCATGAATTTTCCTCACATCCTAGGCTTCTTTCTTCACTATATATATTCACTTGCTCACATAGATTTGCTACCTTCATTAAAGCTTTGGCGAGTACTTAGGGTAAATGTACCTATTACCATGGATTTATTTTAAACTCATCTTGGCTTGGGCATAAAATTGAAAGAAACGACATAAATATAATTTTTTTTTCGAATGAAAGAATAAACATTTCTTTGTATTGTGATGCATTAATAATGCTTTTTTACAGAAAACATTAGTACGAAAAGTCAATTTATAAAATAAAGTAGAGTGTGTGCAATTCTGTTGGTTTGTACCTATTACCGTGTGTGTATTATCGTAAATTTAAAATAGTATCTCAAAAAAGAATCTGAAAAAGTCGTGTTTTTCCAGTAGTTTTTTTGGTTTTTTCCGAGTTATTTTCCAAGGAATCTCCCCAACAACACTCAATGCTAACAGCGCACCTAATCTCGCGAGATGTTATATTTACATGACATCAGTCCCACGGCAATAAGAGCGGGCGCAAAAAATCGTGTGTGTATTACCGCGAGCGCATTTAAAATTATATTAAGTGTGTTAATTAATTTTACACAGTTCTAAAACAATATATATATAGTATTTACTAGCTGCAAGTATCATTTTAAGATAGCTTCTCTGTCAATAATCGTTAAAATGAGGTCTAAACGTAAACTGTATTTTACAACTATTTTCACTTTTTCGGATCAATGGAGACTGAATATTTTTAAATGAATTAAAAGTGAAATGATTCTCTGTAAAACACCTGGGGGTTTTCCCCAGTTAATACCCCAGTTGAGGGCCCAAGCGCAGCGAGGGTCCTGCTGAGCCGAAAAGTGTCCCCATAGCAAGAGTATCGTACATTTTATAGTACTGTGCAAAGTTCAAATTTGTTTCACTTTTCCAATGCATAAGTCGCACTTTCTGGTAACGCGAAGTGAGGTTAGCGTATGCGAGTGTGATGCGAACGCAGCGGTGCCAGAATGTGCGACTTATGCCACACAGTGCTATTGCTATAAAATATAGTTAGCCAGTGCGCATGCCTGCGTACGTATTTACTGCGTTCCGGGTTCCCCGCATGTCTAAAAAAAGAATCTACAAGAGGATATGTTTAAAAGTGATCGATAAAAGAGACCAAAGACTCAAAACGAGTTGGAAGATGAAAAAGTATACTGGACGGAGTCAGAAAATACTCAGTTACCCGAAAAAAGCATAAGCGTAATAATAATAGTAAACTTCAACATCCAGTAGTGAATTTGTTAATATTACGAGAAGCTAAACGTCAAAAAAAGAAAAGAAAAGAAGTAGAAAAAGGCTTCTACTGAAGTGTGAGCACGTGATCAAAAAAGGGGACAGGAGCATCAAAAATGAACTCGCACGTTTAAAACGTCGATTCTAATCGCTTACAATTACGAGGAAAACCACTTTTGGAGCTTACGTGTTCCGATCTATTTATACGACCGATTCTCAGTGAAATCGAATGTCCAAAAATTTTTTGTTTTTTCGATTTTATCACACATATCTCCAAAATTTAATTTGAACTTTTGGGACCACCTGTCGCTTTTTCCACGAGCCTGAAATTTACGTTTTTTAAAACTTCAGGCTTTTTGCGATTATTTGAAAATTTCCTAGCTTAGTCTGAAGCAACTATAGGACAAACGCTAACGAGCATTTTGCTAAAAATTAACCAAATTTTCAACAAAAAAATAATTCTCTCAAGTGATCTGAATTTTTTAGAAGGTTTAACAGATAACCGTATAATCTAAGAATATACAAAAAATGCAAAAAACGTCGATAATCAGTATATTTTTGCCGAGATAGTTTTAAGAATAGTGAAATTCCTATAGGATCATTTTAAGTACAGGAGCTTAATTATACAAATCATTTTTTTTTATTTTCACTATCATAAGAATTTTTAAATCTGGGCTACGTATATTGTGCCATTTTATGAATATTTAAAATTATCGCAATCAGTCAAATGAAGGCGGACAGCTTTTCATTAACAGATGATCATGCAAAAATCATGTAACAGTATTGAATTTAAGAAAATCAATTTATGAAAGCTCTGTCCTTTAAATAATTGAAATATTTTTCAAACCGAACATCTGAAACACCTTTTTTTTCATAAATAATCTCTTCTAAGCACAGGCATTTATGAAATTTAGTGCCGTTTTCATCCTATAACGTATAAAACTGCAATAGAACAAGTATCGGTTTATCCAAATAATTTTTTCATGGAAAATTGGAATGTATAAAATTAGTATCAACATACCCGTACATTAATTAATTTTTATAGATAGATTTAAATGTGGGACAGTATTTTAATGGTTTCAAAATAGGTTCAAAGGAAGTTTGCCAACTTGCCTATAATAGTCAGATGGATGAAAAAAGGAATTAACCAAGTACTGAGCAAACAAAATGAACAAAAACAAAAAAACCAAGATACATATAAGACAGGCGTACATGCGGTGAGCGTGCAGCGTGCGTAGTAGGACAAAAAAAGGAGGAACAGGTTAAAAAAGAAGGAGAGCTGCTGACTCGACGCGAGGTCGTGGAAATAAACAACAAAGGCGCAGCGAAAGACTAAAACAGATCCTTTTGTTGAGAGAGAAAGCGAGAGAGAGAGAGAGAGAGAGAAAGAGAACAAGAGCCTCTTCGACGCTCGTTAATCACGGCAAAACGCCTGGCGCATACCGTCTCTATACTTTTCTGCTTGTATATAATATATGTATATATATATACAGGTACAGAGATAGAAAAGGAGAGCGACATTTTTACCCTCGAAATGCTCTCTGATGTCTTTGCAACCGTAACAGACCTCTCTGTAGAGCAAGAGAGAAAGAGAGGAGTACATTCGGGAATCGAAGCATGTAAGAGACTCTTCGTACGGCGATACCCGATGCAGGAGTAATAGGTGAAATAAATAACTACTCTGAAGTCTGAACCATCACTTAAAAACGATGTACGGTTTAAAATTGACAAATCTTCTTCATTTTCACTTTATTTTTTAAATCGAGAAGTATGTATTCAAGTACTAGATTGTAGTTGCTACACGTACCGAGGAAAATCTATTTCGGAAAAAAATGAACAAAAAATAAATATACACAAACGAAAACATAGGTTTACACTTAAAAACAGAGCTTGCACTTGAAAAGTCAAAATTCATTCGTCAAAAGCTGTGTAATATTATCGATAATATTGATGATAATGCAAACAACAGGAGGGGGCAGTAGCTTACAACATGGCACAAATATGTTTCGTGCAAGTGACTGCGTACACTAGCAAACTCGACCGGAAGTTGTGAATGACGGCAAGTTGTACAACACCCTTTCCAAATGACGCTAACGTGCGCATGTGTGGGTGTGTGTGTGTGTGTGAGGCTCCGAGGCACTGCTGCGCAAATCCATGTTCATTTCAGTGTTCACGCACTAGCGAGCGATTAATTCGTTCGAATGCTTCGAACACAGAAGACTAAATGTCCTCGGTGATGTCGCATTTTCTCCATACATCAGTTACAAATTTCGATGAAATTCCAAAATATGCATAAATAAACATATTTTCTTAGCGATCGTATAACATTTAATACGCATTCACGATCAACGGTCATTCAATTGATGTTGCACAAATCAATTATATTTTCCGAATTCCGTGTATTTTTAAAAATTACTCAGCAATGAATTGCTTGTTTGATTTTTGATAAATCAAACTTTTTTACTGAACAACGAGGTGACTTTTTCATTCTCTTATTCAAATGTAACTAATATACATTATTAATGAACTATAAAATTTAGGAAAAATGCATCACTGTTCAATGCCTCGAATATTTGTTTCAGTTACTTTCATCAAACTTTGTCGTTCAGTCCTTGTATTCAGTGAAAGATGCTCTCTGACTTTTTCCGCATAAGTTAATGATAGAAAGCGTTTTTTTACCATATACTGGAAGGAAGGCACGAGTGTGAAAAATAGTGTATGATGAAGCAGAGGTATATTACTTAGCGCAGGTACTTCAGCGTGTGTTAACGTGACAAATAAAACTTGTATTTCGGTCCAAGTCACACGCACGATCTGAGTGAACGTAATCGAGCCGGAAAATATCCTTTTTTTTCCTTGCCTGTAACGTTGATTCTTCGGGGCTCGCACGAGCTAAACAGTGAGCCACTTGAATTACTTTAGATATATTGACAAACTATATACGCCCTCGTGAGCACGGACATCGAAATTCCATCGATGGGGCGATATTGCTTTCCCGAAATTCGACTCTTTTTTTTCATTGCGATCCCGCTTACACTATGTAATGCTCGAGATATATCGTACAGAAAGGCAGCGTAGCGTGATATGGAAAAAGTTGCCAGCGAAACATAATGTATACGCGGCTTGTTATTAATAGGAACACGTGTATATGGTCAATTTTAAGTTGAGCTTCACTACAAGAAGCTACGATTTTTCAAATAATGTACTTGTAACAAGCAACGCTGTAACCAACGTATTACGTTGGTTTGCGCGTTTCGTTTTTACGATCCAATATTTCCCAGAGTTCCGATACATTTTCATCCGAAGCACACGATCTACAAGTTCTTTATGAATTATTCTTCGACTGGAAAGAAAAATTAACGAATCAATATACGCCAGTGACATGTGAAAAAATTTCAGTAAAGTGCCCCAGTCGAAAAGCTTAAAATAATTTGGACGAATATTATGCAGATGCACTTGATCATGATTCTATTACATTTAAACCATATCAAGTCTTGCATTCGTTCGCGAATTACTCCTGATTATTTAAAAATAATTGTATTAAGTGTGTACCAGTATACGTAAACATTCATAATGATGCAGTACACGCTCGACTTGAACAAGAAATTATTATGTTTTAAGAATCATGAAATTCGAATCCAAAATCAGTCAAAATCAGGATTGAGCGCGAGTGGGTCCACAACTCTCAAGGGGACCCACCTGTATTGAATCCTGTTTATTAAACACATGAAAATGAAATTTTTATATTTAAATTTTTGGTTTTCGATTTAAAATTTGGTTTTTACAAGTCATTTTACATCAGAAAATATTCTTGAAATTCCTTTATACTAAGAGACAGATTGGTGTTTCAAACAGATATTTAAAAACGGCTATATAAATCGAAATAATTGAAAAAAGTTGTTTTTTAATAGTAAAATATGTTCGTATTATACCTTATGGACAAAAAAAACTCTTATCCAAGTTCTGTAAACCAAATAAAATTTCTTTTACTGTAAGACTATACTAGCACTTAGCGCAGCGAGGGAAGCAGGAGCACGAGTTGGAACACATACTCCGCACGAGTTGAGTATACTATTTTTTGATACAGCTGCGGATAGTTCGTTTTTCCGCACGCTTACGAACTTTCCGCACGCTGTATCAAAAATTTGCTTTAAGAACAGAAGAATCATCTGTTTTGATAAGTATTATAAAAAAAGTAATGTAATTGCGGGATTTGAAGCTTGAAAAGAAGTTTGTTTTGGTCAATCAGGTGTAGTATAAAAATATTTTACTATCAAAATTATATATTACTGCCCTTGGTCGCGAAAAAAGGAAAGTCCTACAGTACCTGTAATTAGCAGTCGAAGCGAAGCCGAGGCTGATGAGCACGTACTCTGGAGGTTACTTTTTTTGCGGCTTCGACCTGTATGCTAATTTTCATACCCAGTAACCTGAAAATAGCTTTTTTCAGTTTGCGTACAGGCCGGACGTAGTCATTTCTGGGCCGCTGGTATAAAAAAAAATATTTTCAATTATTTCGATTATTCTTAATAAACGCTGCGCTTGGGCAAAAACAACTCCCGGATGAGTCATCTTCTTGACGAACTTGTTACATAATTTACTATTCGCGTACACTATGCTTAAAAAGCTGGGCACATGTAGCATAAGGTATACGCCCCTATTTTCGATCAGTTTGGCCCTAATTTCGATCAAATTTAAATCAATTTTTTATGTAGGATTGAAACTTGATATCTGATTTTGAATAATGTATTTCTGTTGAAGATTTCGATTCATTCAGCCAATTAGTAAAAAAAATTTTCTTACGTACTATTAAGTTGTTAATATTAATTATTGATTGAATATAGGGACAGGATCGAAAATAGAGGCATATACCTTACACAATTTTATGCAGTAGCAATTGGAAAATACTTACATAATAAATATGATACATCCTATAAAAACGCGGCAATTTACCGTACACTAGTATCCGAAAACGCTTTTTGTGCACCAAAAAGTGTGCGAAAAAAGACTTGACGGAAAACGATTAACGTGTAAATGAGAGAAAGCAAAAAAAACGGACTGCGGATAGTGAAAAACGAAAATATAGCATAGTGAAAATTTTCTATTTTTTTTCATTTCGTCTGTATCGCGAACGAGTGTAAGCGGATAACGTAACGGCAAGTTTTGATCAAATCGGTCACAATAACGCATACATGGAAGTGTATATACCTATATAGGAAAGTGAAAATTTCCGAGGGGGTTTGAGCTATTTCGACTGTGGTCGAAGCTGTGCTGTTCCTTTACATTCAAAATCGCATTTTATTTCTTTGAAAATTTAAACGATAAATTCCAGTCTGATACATCATAAAAATAATCCACGATATAATACGATCCACATAATAATATGATCAAGATGATATAGGTGAAAAATAGTTTTTAAGGTAAAATTTTTTTGCTTTTTTAGCATGACTTTTAATGAGAAATAATGGCGTCATGATTCCGACCTTAAATAAGCATAAACATAATTTAAAACAACTCAAATTGAAAAAAATGCTTACGCATAGGAATAATTTAAAATAAGAATAACGAATAATTTTGTTGTAAAAGTATGGTGCCTCCGAAGTTACTTATTCTGAATCCGTCCCCATATGCGCGGCTTTATATCGTTCCGTACGGTGTGTATTGCGTATTAAGAATAGCAAAGACCTCACGACGTTACAATAATTACTCCACCTTATTCAGGTCAGTGTCTAATTCAATTTCATAACAACAGCGAATGCCAATTGTGAATTTTACTCCTGGCTGGAATAATTGTTGTCCGATCCAATACATTCACAATCGTTTGGTCTTTGATATTTACCTTTGATGACTGTTATTCAGAAACTTTGTCAGTTAGTCTTGGTCATGTCATGTTGTTAAATTCCGCCTTGCATATCTAGAACACGAAATAAATAAAATGAGTTGATCAGTTTAAACTTTAAATAATAATAACAATTCGGTAAAAAATATATCGGTAAATTATTGAACGCGTATAAAAAGTACATACATTATGAAAAATAACACACTCGCGAGGACCAAGTCTTTCATTATTGCCTGCTATTATCCTTGCTAGAGACCCGATATCCTCAACCATATTAAGTATATTCACTGGCATAGTACGTATGTATTAAAAACATATTGGAAAATATAGAGCGAGTAAAAGAGAATTCACATTTGAAAGTCAATGATTACCCGATATCGAAAAAAATTGCAGTCAATTTAATAGCACTTAACATGCAATCTTTCTGCAGTAGTACGTATCAAAATACGGTCGTACTCGAATGAGAAAAGAAGAGAGAAAGCAAAAGCGAGAAATGTTATCAGATATCCATACAAAAATGTGTAATATGTGCATATGCAATTAAAGTGAAGACGAGTGGAAATTACTTCCGTTTTTTTAAGTTGGGGCGTGCTTTTTAACACGAATCATATTTATGAAAATGTTTTAGGTTTTGTAGGTGCATTTAGGAGCTGTTACAACGAGTTTGAAATTTAGCAAATTCGCCTCATAATGCCGCGCGGGCCTCGCTCTAGGAAACTTGACTCTAATACCTTGAATTTTTAGATAAGTTCGACGCTTTTCACCTTGGGATCTATACACTCCAAAAAAAATCCAGTGTTTTTAGAGTAAAATTCAATGTCCTTTTCCATTCCTAATAAGTTATGATCGCTTAAACATATAAATTTTCCATATTTTGCACAGATTTTTTCGTTTAAACGATCATAACTTTTGAACTACGCATTGGATCTCAAATCTGAGCCAGGTTTTGCATGCATCAAATTATGTAATTTCAAAGTTTTTCTAAAGCTCGAAACATGGAAAAATTTTACTTTAAATCACTACATCCTGATAGTTAATGGGTTAAATGTTAACATCGATTTTAATTTTAAAGCACGGTTTTAAGCTGTGCCTATAGGTTATAAACCGTGCAATTATGTTTTTATATCACAAAGAAGTGATCTAAACTTGTGGAGCAAAGATTTTTAATTTTAGGAAATAACGGACACCCTAATGTACAGAACATAATGCACAATGTTAATTCATCGCTGCTATAATCTTGAATCTCACACACTAGTAAAGCATGAAATAAAATTATAGTGTAGTTAAGTGATGTTGTAAATAATTTTTTAATCCTCCATTGCTGATAAACCTTAAGTGTGCGTGAAAAACGAAGGCTAGCTTGAAAAGTTTATAAGTTGGATACAGAAGTATAATAAACGGAGAGCATGGCATATCAGCCATGATCGTGTAACATGTATAATACACATGGGCAAGCTGTGCGAGCAGGTTTGTATCACCGATTATCGTCACGCATTTGCATGCATGGCAACGATTTGTTCGTCGAAAGGTCATTTCAGCCCTTTTCTAATAATGTCTATTGCACAGCAAACATCAATGCAGTTTAGGCTACTAGCAGTGGCTGCAAGTCACACCGCATGCTATTCAGTTAATTTTTATGGTCCAAGTGCATGCACGCTGTAATAAATTCTGCCTTTCTTCATGAAAAATAATAAAATACTAATTAAAGTTAAGAGGGACACGATATTTCATGTACTTTTGAGATGTTTCGCTGCAAATTCCTCTTTGCTGTCAATGTATGAATGAACTTCCAAGATTTTATCACATCAGAAAATCAACATCTTTGTAATTGCTAAATCCGGCTTAACCAGTCTTTCATTTCTTTTTTTATCCCTTTAGATTCTGACATATATCTTCATTAAATTGAAAGAGAAAAATACATAAATGGAGCTAATAGATAAGTATTTCTATACAAATAAAAAATAAATTTAAAAAACCAAAGAGCAAATACTGTCGCAACATGAAAAATCTGTAATGAACTGGAATTTGCAACTATAAAGGTAATACCAGTTATCGAAAGGCTGTTTAATCAAGCAATATCTTAAAAGAAGAGAAAATTCCATTTACCGACGCATTCCTTGCAGAGAGTGTTCCGCGAATAAAAGAAAAAAACTCAATCGATCGTTGAAACTTTGTCATTTTTGTAAATATACTGCCATTTTGAAATTTAATTGCAAAAAAATGTTAATGTTTTTTGCACATAATATAATGCCTATACTAACTTAAACGTTATAAATAATATTTAATAATATTTTATACATTATTTTTGCAAATAATATTTTCAAGTTTTATAAAAATTTCGAAACGCTTGAAAAAATGTCCCACCTTTAAAACGAATAGCATTGAAAATAGCATTTTTCGATTGTAATTATAATTTAAACTCGTCTCTTTTATGCAGGAAGGGTCTTCCCGTATAGTATAAACTTCTATACATTTTTCTAGCTAGTCTCAATCACCAAATTTTTGTATAACTAAAATATAATTTTCCGCCTCATCAATGCCGTTTTTTAAATCATTCTCTAGAACGCAAGGAATATTTTTCAGCAGTCTAAAAAAAAATTTCTAGCGTATTTTTGTCCCCTCACATTTGGCTCTTACCGAGCATTTTAATTCATAAAATTGAATTATCAGTAGTTGTCGGAAGAGTGTATCAGAAAAATCTTTTGTCTTTCCATACTCTTGCACCATGAAGCAGTTTCTTTTTCGAACTCTTCACCGATTTTATTATTTTTTCCTGTGATTTATTTTACGCTTAGATGAAGTGTTTCGCGAAATCTTTATTTATATGTACGTATCACGTACCAAGCTGCTACTGCTGGTGCTACTGCACTGGTGTTACTGCTACAACACTTTATATCGAATCTCAAAGTTTATTGCTTCAAGCAGCGAGTGCGCGAAGAAAATTTTTTTAAAGCTTTTTTCTGCGAGCTACTTATACAACCTCTCAAAGTAGCTCCTGATGTTGCTCAATTCTTTTTGTTTTGTTGCAATGTTTTAAAATCCTATTTTATGCGAAGCAGTATAAAATTTTTTACTTAAAAAACTTTTTCACGCCCTGTTGTGATCTATAACGATCGATATCGCCCAGCGGCGAATGAAATTTATTATCAAGAAACAAATGTATACATATCATAAATGGGAAAAAATAACAGTGACCATGTAATTTTGCAACAAAAATAGCTGCTACGTAAATATAAGAGCAAAGATCAAATCTCGAGCGGCATTAAAATGAAAAAGAGCGAGTAATAATACACGTGACTGTACAGTCATTTTTATCGCGAATAAACTACATTTTTGTGTTAGTCATAGTCTATGTAGAGTACTGTACGAGGCACACAACAACGCATGATAAACTGAATAAAATTACGTAAACACTATCAAAAGATTCGCAAAGCGTGTAAATGCTCTCATGTTCTCTATTGTGGTCTGAAAAAATATATACAACAAAAAAGTACCTATTACGATTTACAAATTTCTCCCCGCCTCTCTCTGTTTGTATGAGTATGTGCAGAAAATGTGGGGCAGCGAAAAGAAGGAAGTGAAAAGAGAGGATAATTCTTTTATCGCGCAACCAGTGAATTCGCTCGATTTAAGCCGTCGTTTCTATTCAGACTGGTGCTAGTTTAGCCTGATTTCAGATAATGCAACAAATGTCTATACCACTTAGTTGTTACTGACTTGTGTCATTGTAACTTTTTTCTATAGTCTCCACCTGGATAGCTTGCGATATTCAACTCAGGACATACTTAATGAACGCTCTACAGGTACAATGATGCTGAAGATTATCGCTCCATCACTGTACTTTCATTCTTCATTCTTTTGCAAATTTTTCTCTTCATTTTTTTTATTTACCTCGACTTACAACAGAAGCTTATCTCCGTTTCTCATTATAATCTTGATTGTCGACAGAGGAGCAAAGGATCTAACTTTTTTCCTTCTTAACAAAATGGTAGTTATGTGCACCATACCTAATCGCATTCACTATAACAATAAGACTATTTCACCTTCAGGTCACATAACTTGGTCAAAAACTTTTTTGGGTCTTTTAGTACTTAATAATAAAGCTTCCTGTGAACAGTTTAATCCTACAAGGCTCATTTTTAAAATCATTTTCTTTTTACTAAAAAATCTTTGCCATTATTTATCTAAAAAAAGAATGACTCGAAAGAAAAAAATACCAATAACTGAAAATTCTTTGAATTAGTAAAGGAATACGTATGACTTTTTTCTGAATTTTCGAGGCCGTCTATATCTTATTTTCCATGATTGAAATTTGACGGTTTTATTATATTTTTCCTCAGAAATAATTATGGATGGCCTTGAAAATTCTGAAAAAATTACGTTCATTCTTCGACGGCTTCTAAAAGTTTTTTTTATAATTTTTCCTCCAAATTCGTTTGTTTTCGAAATAAAAACAGCTGCCAATATTTATTGGCAAAGAGCTTCTTCATAAAAAATTATATAACCCATTAAGTCCCAAGAGGACGTTTTTTCAACCCTTTATTCGTCCACTGTATTTTTGGTAAAAATGGGGTCAAAAAAATATGCGAGTAACTAATTCTAATGTAAAATTTAATGCCCTTTCAGAATCGGATCTCAGATTTTCGAAAAAATGATCAGAACAAAAGTTAAACTTGATTTTACCCAAAAAACATGATTTTTAAAAAAAAAATTTTTTTATTTTTCGAATTTCCAAATGGAAACCATTTGAAATTTCAAGAGTTTCGTGCAAATATCGATATCTAAACTGAAAGTTAGCGGGGTACCGATTGAAAAAATTAATGTTTAAACACAAAAAATGGCGGTCGAAACTCGCAAAATTGGATGAAAACTTATAGAAATTTTACTCAAAAACGAAGGACTTGAGAAAAAAGTGTATTTTTTAACTTTATTTTCTTGAATCTAAACCCCACTAACTTTTAGTTTAGGTATCGAGGACGCGATATTTGCACGAAACCCCTAAGATTTCTAATGGTTTTCATTTGGAAATTCGAAAAATAAAAAAAATTTTTTTTAAAAATCATGTTTTTTGGGTA